GGCATCACAGCTTATGAATCTGAGTTTTTAGTGGACTAGTACCATTTCCCAGTTGTTTTTGCTTTCTCTTTTCTCACAGTAAGATGCAACTTAAATTCCTAAACTCAAAACCCCCAAAAATTCAACCCGCAAGCCTCAGCGGTATTTGGAGTTTATGTATTCTTTAACCAAAGACCTTTGCATAACCAGATACTGGTACATTTTTTTTAGTGAAATTCTTAAAGCTTTGGGCTTAACTACGGCTTCTTGCAGTGATATGTTTGGAAAATGTCAACTATGTATGTGTAATGGAGGGCTGTGGAGTTGAGGTATGTCCATTTTCTGGAAGTGGTAGACTGGTGTCAAGGTCTGGACTGACCTCGAGCAGGGTCCTGGCTCCAGCTTGAGCAGTCCCACGGTGACATCAGAACTTTGGCATCCATGTTAAAGAATTTTTTTGTTATTGCCATTATTTCAGAGAAAAGCTGATGATCTGGCATGAATGAATGCACTGCAGACATATCTGCTGGAGTAAGCAGAGAATTTTAAAGCTTTATGAGTTGTGAATTGCATCATTCATTTTTCATAAGTTATTAATTCTGAAACTTTTCTGTTGCCTACAGCAGTAGACTTGGATGTGTATGGAGAAGTTCTTCAAATTGTAGGCAGAGACTTGATTTCTGAAAGAACAAAAAGGAAAAATACAGCAAAACCCGTGTTGGAACAAGAGATCCAAAAGTGCTTAAAGAGGCTTGAGGGTGAAAGAAACACACAAAGGGTTTACTAGGCTGGAGTTAAACAGAACTAAGTAGGATTTAGAAATGTACTTAGAAAAAATAATCCTCAAAAGGAAGAGAACAGCATCCCTTTCCACCCCAAATCAAAAAGAAACACTATTAAAATGTTCTTAAACTTGTTCTTAAAGTATTTAGTTTCTTTTAATAACACTCATGATATGTTGGGTAGTCCAAAAGGATTGTGTATGTATTGGCAAATCAAAGTAACCTTTTGGATGCTCAATCTTCATCTAAGTGTGTTTCAGATCTATGTGTGATAAACCTCATTTGCTAAATATGGAAGGTTGATCTATTCTATAGCACAGAAATTGTGTGTGATGTAATGAGAAGTCTCATTGTCAGGAATCTTTTAGTAAGATATTTCTGAAATGTTATGGTTGCTTTTCTTCTGGATCCCCTATACAATCTGCATTTCCATTCATTTTATTATGGAACACTATTGGGAGCAAGCAGAAATAAAATCCAAGATCAGGCCTTTCTTTTCCCTTTTTTTCTTTTTTTTTTTTAAATATTCCCGTTGAGGTACTGTGAATGGGAACATCATCCATCTAGAAGCATAGGGTTCAGCAGCCAGAGTCTGGAGCAAAATAATCTGGCACTGCTATTCTGGGCAGTGGATCATTTGTGGCTTTAGACAGACAGAGCGCATGATCTTTCAATCTCAGTTTCCCTTTCTGTAATGTAGAGTGATGAGAATAATTTAATTCTTATCTGACACAATATTTCTATTTACTATAGACAGATGAAATGGTATGGAAATAGCCTAAATGAGGATTGTTCAAAATCAGATCATACCCATCATTCATAATCTAATTGTTTCAATTTTTTAGTGAAGAAACTGAGTTCATAATTGAAGAGACCAAAACATTTAAAGGTTGGATTTGTATTCTGGAGAGTATTCAGAATTTCAAGAAAACTACCCCCCCACTGTTTCATTATAAGAAATATTCTAAAGGCTTTCCAAAAGTTTTGTCTTTATGCAGAACCACAGTCTGTTTATTTCTTCATGCCAAAGATGAGGTTTGGCACAGGATTGTCCCATGCCCTTGCCAAAAGCTCTCCTAAGAGCACACTCAGTTAGTTTATATTACTACTTTTGAGAAAGGAAACATTAAAGAACCCATATTTTTAATACAGTATAAAGGTCCTCTGAAGGCTGAAAATGCCTCCCTCTGGCCCCACCTCACTGCAAAGGACTGGAGTATGTGAGGGAAAAAGGAGACCTACAGTCAAAGAGCTGCCTCTGTGTGAGGCCTGGGAGCAAGGACAGCTTCACGCTAACCCTCATTTCCCTGCAGGCTACGTTTTCAAAAAGTGCTTCTAAGTGTGGTTGCCCAAGTGGAGACAACCATGGCTTCATTTTCAGCAAGTCTGGGCACTCCAACACCTGTTGATTCAAGTGAAGGTGGACCTCGGCTGCCTCCTGCCAGCGTTTCCACACTTCTGCAAGCACAGGGTACCAGTGTCAGGTCTGTCCCTCTCCCTCTGTGTCCCTGATGCACTGATGCCTTTGCAGCTTCTGTGAAAGGTCACTAAGCCAGAGAAAGGCCATGGCTATTCTATTTATACGTATAAATATAACTTGCATATAACTTGGATTTTCTCTGCTCTTAAATTGGTATAACCTGTAACTGATGTCTGGAATCCTCAGCCTCTCTCTGCTGCCTAGAATGATGCACCAAGCGTAATTTTTAATTTTGACTTTGGCATTGTCTTATATATTTGGTTAAGAGAGATATGAGAGAATTTGAGGAATTGTCTGCTAACTCTGCTGCAGAGAGACTGCTGATCACCAAACCATTTCATTTAAATGCAGAGGGTTTATTTTTTACGCTTCTGTGAAGTCTTGAAATCTGAGGTAATACAAAATTTGAACAAAGCAGGCTATTGTCATAGAAATTACTGAGTCTGCAGACATATTATGCACAGAGTGAGAGAGCATTTTAGGTGATTTTATGACGATCATTGTAAAAATGTGTGTATGTGTACCCCTGCATCTGTGTATCCATTCATCCACTCAGAACTCAGACTGTACATCAGAAATGGAAGCCAGCTGTTAAAGCTGTCAGCCAGCTGTGTATCTGCCTCCTCCTGGGGTGTCCATTCAACCCCACAGGCTGCATGGGGCAGGCACAGGCAGCTATCAGAGAACTCAGCTGAAGCATGGAAGACACTTTTTTCCATTTGAGTTCCCCACACCATATGGCAGCCAAATTTAATTTTCAAATATGCTTTTTCTCCCCTAATGAAACTGCCACTTCCAGAATTTCATGTTCAATCATCTTGTTCAACCACAATGCCTCTTCTTCCTCCTAGGGAGGAGTCCAAAGAATTTTCATTAGTTGGCTGAATGTCTAAATGCTAGGGATGTCTGTGCAAAATCTGCATATTAAATCTGAATGTCCAGTCTTGCATCAATGGGATCCTTTTCCTTTTCTGTAAGAATAGCTGTCTTTGAGACTTATCAGAGTTGCAGAGTTGTTGTGGATCAACCTTCAGTGTCCTGGCCCTTAACACTTTTTATTGAAAGTTAACACTTGAATTACAAAGCATTTCCAGTATGATATGAAGCTGAAGCCATACTAAAAATTCTTAAAGTATTCAAAGATGGAGTTATTTTATAATCTGCAATTCTGCTCAATACTGGTGTTTCTGGGCAGAGTAAAAGTGGAAAACTTTAACGGTTAGATGCTCCTGTCATGACTTCACACTGATACTCAGATGTCAGTCTTTGAAGATCTTCATCCTCTTTTATGCTGTAAATAAATATTTTGTTTAGTTAACCTGCTGGAGAATTTAAAAGGAAATCAACATGTTCTGTAGACTCAAAAAGTGAGGACTGTTTATTTGTACATTCTGACTGCCTGCATATTACAGGCCAAATAATATTCCTCTGTCACATCTGCACTGAGTCCAATTCCTTCCCTATTTGATTAAACTGTTACCTGTAGATGTAAACTTGTGAACACAATTTCTTTGGTACTGATGCTGATTTTGAAAAACAGTTGCTCTGAGCTTGAAATGAATAAAATCCCATATCCTATGGCACTGGATTCTCTGGTTTTCTAACAAGGCAGTGTCTGGGAAATTCCCAACAGCTCAATTCTAGTAGATTCTCTGAAGCCTAATAGGTTATATTCATACTAAACCTTTAATTTACTAGGGTTAAAAATCTTATTAACACCATTCTGTTCACCCATCCATTGATTTTCCTGACTGTTTTTAAGAACTTAATTGTTTCTGAGCTGTCTGCTTTTATCAGATGTAGTTGGAATTGGTGATCATGTCCAAAAGATTATTGAAAGGGTAATATGCATGGGACCACTCATGCAGACAAAGCTTGCCTGCATGAGATTTGTTTCCCTAGGAAATCTGGCACCTGTTAGACATATCTGAAATTCTGTGGATTTTTGGTATTCTATTCTTACTATTCATTAGAGGAGGAGAGATAAAGTTTCATCAGATGCAAATCATCATTCCCAGAGGATATCAGCAACGACTGATGGAGCAATTTCTTTCTGACATTCTGGTGCTTTCTGGGGTTGTATTGCATCATGGTGGCTCTTTGATATATGTGTTTGACATACACTGGCCTGATAGACTGGAAATGAGAGTTAGTAAATAGTTTAATTGTTTGTCATGTTTTCAAAGTACTTCCTTATGTCAACAGTCAATGGGCAGGATGCAAGTGAAATGCTGAGACTCTGTTTGCCTTGATTTCTGTTTGTATTTGCTATATCTGAAGATGCTCCTAGATCTTGTTGCAAAAATACTTTTCATTTAGAAATTCAGACCTCCTCTGATGTAAGCCCCAAACATTTCCATTTCTAAGTGCAAGAAGTTGATCCCTATGTAATTATGAAGTGATGCCAGGTCCTAACCACACTACCTTACCTACCCTAGTCCTTTGGAAATGTTTTACTTGCAACAACTTTATATACCAAACATGTTTGTTTAATGAAAATGTTGTTATGATAACTATAAACAACATATTTTTTATATGACTAATGTTTTCATGAAGTTGGTTTCATTTTCACAGGTCACTGCTTCCTTTTCCAGCCTCATAAACAGTTTTCTCAATCATTTTGGGCACTGAGTTGAGACCTCAGCACTTGGATTTGTGTCATATGATTTGATCTTCTTTTCAGTATTCTCCTATTCGTCCCTGTCCATGTGCTGTTTTTTCTGACACTTTTTTTTCCTTCATGTGTCATTTTATGACAGTGTTTCTCCATGATGTGCTTGCTAAAAGAAGTGAGATATCTGGAAAAAAATTAGACTTGTTTGTGAAAAAAACCCAAAAAACTGACCAATAGGCTACCTAGAAAGTAAGTAGTTTTACTTTTTCTAATTTCTTATGTGTGTGTATGTTCTTATCCTAAAATCTACATTCATGACTTTATCTACAACATAAGGCATATTTTGTAAATGAGCTTAAGCACCCTATCAAGTTGTAATTATTCATGAATAGTCTCTCTTTATTGCTAATGATATGCATCACACTAGCAGAGTTTGATATACTGGTTATACAAATAAAGTTCATCTGAGGTAACACAGTTTATTCCTTTCTCAGGCATCCAGCCTGGATCTCAGCTGCAAAGTAAGTACCTCTCCACATCTCATTACCAAAATAGCAACCTTCTTAATCCTTTGCTGTGAAGAACAAAGGTTCGATTCAGTCTCTGGAGCAGAAATAGGATCTTATTAATGCACTGGCAACTACAGTGTTGTTATTTTTGCTAGAAAAGAGAGAAACAGGAATTTGCTGATATATGATAGATTAAGGGCTGTTATTGTTTTGAGATTAATTGGATTGTTAGCTGGGCCTTTCTGATGTCAGCTGAAAATCTACAAAATACCTTGCAAGTTATTATTCGGGATGAGATCAGGAGCTACTTCCTGGAAATTCACTTCTATTCTTTGTATTTGTTCTGAAGGAATCACTAAGGCTATCAGTTAAAGGGTGTATTGTTTACCGTGCAGGGAGAAAATTTTTTGTGTTGTTCTTGCCCAGAGTGCTGGCCCTGCTGGACTCAACCCTCTTGCCATCCAGTGGATTAAAGCTGAGACCCAAGCCACCAGCAAGGTACCTCATGCTCAGCCTTTGGGGAGGTCTGTGCATTGGCCCAGTGTCAAGGCTTAAATGTGTTACAGCTGACGTATGAATTCACATTTTGGAGTTTTAGAGCTCCAGTGATGTTTTATGGAGTCTTTTCTTTCTTTCAAAATATTTGCTGTCATGTAGTGTTGGGCTGCAGTGGGCTGTAGCATTTGGGATCCCTGTGGAGCAGACTGTCTCGGCAGCCCATCAGGATAAAAGTTGAAATTAGGATTGCAGAGAAGAGCCAGAGAAATTCCACTTGGTGAATTAAATGTTGTTGAGCTTGAGGACCTGGGAAAGGGTTAGTGATGTATCTGGGTGAACTCCCAAATTGGTATGAATGACAGGCATAGGAGGTATTGCTTAGAGCAAAAATAAATGCAGTGTAACTGATCTGTTGAGACCATCAAACAGTTTCTGGAAATGACTGGTGCTTGATAATTTTTAGTGATAGGCAAATGGCATACTCCAAATTACGTGTGGTCCATTGTGTAATTCTGTGTGGGTGTGGACCTTTGCAGGTTATTGGCCTATGCCACCTGGCACAAAATGTGTTTGTTTAAGTCTTAGCATGTAGAACTTTGGGTGTTTGTCTTCATGTGTATGTGAAAGGTTCAGGGTTAAGTGAGGGAGAACTAACCAGAAACTGAGATCAGCAGAAGCATTCTCGATAACTGTTCCCAGGCCTGAGTAATGAAGACCAGTAAGATGGTATTTGCAGTGAACCTCAGCTCTCTGCTTCTATTCCTCATGGTTAGGACAAACCCTGTGTTTGGCCTCCAGGAGATATGAAAAGATATGTCTATTGATGGAGTATGTAGTCTGAGACTTGTGGCTTGAGTGTGTGAACTTTTATTTGTGAGTTGGAAGAGATTTCTGAGCATAGACTAAGGCAATTATGCAGCATTAATTGCTAATTTATCCTGATTGTCCATGTCACCAGAAGGCTTTAAGTATCAAGTTCTGATAGAACAAGAATGTTTGATGTACCAATAGGATATTTGGGCCCAAGCCTGTTCTCTGTTACACCACTGAAAATTTGGGATACTTGTATTGACTGCTGAGTGACAGAGCAAAGCAGGACTGGACCTGAGAGATGAGGCTGTGACTTGCCTGTGTGTGCCTTGGGCAGTGAAACAGCTGACTGAAGAAACAGCTCATGTACTGCTTGCATTTCCCCTTGATGGTTTCCAGCTGTCCTCTTATCCCTGGCATGCAAAACATTAATTAGTTTCAGCTTATGAAAATAAGTGAGAGGCAGTGTGTGCTACCCACCTTATAGTGCTGCACATAAACAAGGCACTGCAAACAGCGAACCGTGATCACAAATGCTAAGTGACGTTGTTATTAATCCAGGGGCTGAGTAAAAAGAAAGTTCCTTTGTTGCTGAACATAATCTAGATGGTTTCTCAGCCTGTGCAATAGAGGAAGACATGCTTACATGCAGGAGATTGGTGTGTATTGCACCTGGACCATACCTCAGAATGTCACAGACCTCATGCTTTCATCTCCACACGTCTTTTAGTATTAACTGAGGCAAGAAAAAAGCAAAGAGCTAAATAGGACAGTAGAAGAAGAAGGCGGTATTATTTTTTTTCAACCTGTAAACTCATATTTGTAGGATATTAAGTTTGGGAGGTTTTGTCATTATAGCTCTTGCATGTTTTCAGATTAGGTTTCCTAGACTGCTTTGTCAGAGAATATGAAGAACTTGTAGGTATAAAAAGTATTCAAAGAATTCACACACCTTAATTTTCAAACCTGTTAGTTTATTGTCACGAGACTGCCTAAATATATTTTTATGCTGCTGCAGTAAGATCTGCCACTACCTTGCTACCCAGGCTGAAAGGAAAGTATTAGCAGGAAGTAACTGAAATCAAGAGATGCAGGAGAAAATACATTAAGCAAAGCATGAAAATCCCAGTGTCTTAACACCATTGCTAGTCCAAAAGAAAGATTTTGCTGAATTGGCTGGACTGCTACAGACTCCCTTTAAAGCAAATTGAAAAGGACAAACTCAAATTTAAGTGAATACTAGAGACAGTGGACAAGGTTATGCAAAAGTTGGAATATGTATGGATGCTGCAGTCATGATGGAAGAATTTCTGCAAAAAGGAAAAGAAGGTGTTGACAGGCTGGTGTTGCCCAACTAGAAGTGTTGTATAAGCCTGGAGAAATTATCCCTATGATTTAAAAATATAAATAATAAATGAACTACAGATACTTGTATGGAGAAGAATGAGTCTGGACAAATCTACTAAAAAAACAATGATTAATAAGATTACTTGAAAAAATGAATCATACTGGGGTCATCAAAAACCAAAATTAGATTAATTGTGGTTGAAAGGTTAAATAGGTTTTCTGGTTTTGGTCATAGAATGTAACTGTGATGAATTTCTGTTATGATGGTGGAGGAGAAAACTGAGAAGAAAGCAGGAAATGTTTGGAAGGGTAGGGAGAAATGGCTTGTATGAATTCTCTGTCTTACATTTAACTCCTGATGCTATCTGAGATCAGAAGTGCTGCAGATCTCCAAGCACGTAGTTTCCACTTGATTTATTGCATTAACCTAGATATGCAGTGGATAAAGGTGGCAGACAAACTTACTGTTATGTGTTTTGCCATAAAAATGGTGAGGCAAAAGTAGCCTGAGATCTAGAAAGGGCTGGAACAGATATGATGGAGCTGCACAATAGGCCGGGACTGTAGCCGAAAGTGGACAACATTCAGAAGCAATCCAGTTATTTTCTTCAATTTATGCATTTTACTATAGAAGGATAAAGCACTACGATATATGTGCAATGTAGAAAGTTTAATTCTATTGAAGCATCTGATGTTTATCTCATTTCAAAGATGGATGCTGTTGTAGGAAATCTCATGTGTTACTTAATTGCCATAATCTTAACCAGAGGGTTTTCAGACTGCAGTGCTGAATTTAAATATGTCTATCTTGTCCATTTGGTAATACTTTGTGAGGTGCTGGTATTCCTTAGGAACCTGTCACCCTACAGAATATGGGAAATTAAACTAATGAAACGAGTTTGGTAGAGCTGATTTTATGTTTTCTTGAGGAGGCGAATCCTGAAGGAACACATGCTTTTGAGCAGGAGATTGCTCTGTCCTCTTAGGGAAGCAAGACTTACTGTGAAGTAGGAAAAGTGTCAACCAAGAAGAGTTTTAATACTCAAAAAAAGAATAATCATATCAATTCAGGAGCAAAGGAAACTACCATGCTCTGGCAGGCTTTCCAAATTAGTGAGAAAAGCCAGCCTTTACTGAACTGTGAGAATATTGCTCAAGATCATCCAGCATTTCTACTCCTAACTTCTTGAATCACTGAAGGTATGTCTGTTCAGGGTTTGGCAGGCACATATGGACTCACTCTGTCCATGCTCCAAGCTGAGTGGATGAAAGCTGCCTGGGAATGGGAATCTGTGTAGCCATCATCAGTATGTGGCTGAGCCTGAGCTGGTAAGTTCTGCTGGGAAGCAGAGTATATTAGTTTGGGATCAGAACTAGAGGGTTGCAGTTACCAGACTTTAGGATCAGAGGTAGCTTCTACCAGGGTATCTTGGAGCATTTGCATATAGAATTGCATCTTTTTGCAAATCTGCCATGGAATTTTATCCTTAATATGTTAAAAGGGTTAGCCAGATGTGATCTGGAAATATGGAGCCCTAAAGACAGGGCATTCTTTTAAAAGAAATTGTGAGTAAAAATCCAGTGCCAAATTCCAACTTCAGGAATTTGCTTTCAGATGCTTTCTCTTGGGTCTAAGGATTGATGTATGATAGTGTTAGAGGGAAAGACTTAAAACTGTATATTTGAATCTAAACTCAACTGGTCCATGGAAAGGACTGTGCACAAATGAGGACCTTCAGCTGCCTGAATTAAATGTCCCTCCCTATACAGTCCGTTTTACAAAACACTTGTTCCCTTGTTTACAATGAATGGAAAGTGCTAATGGCAGCTGATTTATCTGATGTCTCAGGCTCCTGAGTCACTTAGGTACTTTTGAAGATGTTCTCTTTCAAATTAATTTCTGTAATTTATTTCCATGCCTCTGACTTTCAGAAAAAAAGCCCTGTTCCTAAATAAATTCATGAGTGTTTAAAAATTATTTTGTCCTTAGCCTCAGGAGTCCATTAGTTGCTGTGTTCTGGAAGCAAATGAAAACAATGCATTCTGTAGGATATAAAAGTATTCCTGACTGTGCCAGTGGATCACTGCGATCATTAGGTTAATACCAACTATTATCATCCAGGATGCTCATCTGGTTTTACTGAGCTTTGTTAAAGAAATGGAAATGATTAAAGTCATCCTGTCTGTCCCTCTAAAGTTCTGCCTGTGAATGAGTCACTGTTTTACAAATGGGTGTTGCCAGACACTGATATTGAATGCGGCTCCAGCCATCAGAGCTCTGGGTCCAGCACCGCATTCTTGGAGTCCAGACTGGAACACTGAAATTCCCATTGAAATCTGTGGGAATTCTGCATGGCCAAAGCCCAGCTACCTTTATGGCTGGCTGAGGCAGCTTAGAGAGAGCTGTAGCTCTATGCATGTAGTAGCCTGGGGACTCAATATGAATTTCATGCATCTCTTCAATTAGTCACTTGAAACCCAAGCCGGAATTGAGGATACCACATTCCACTTAGGCTTTGTTTGCTTGAGGTCAGCTGAGTGCCCACTGCTGCCTCTGGACGTGACACCTTCCACCCCACTGGCAGAGCTGCAGCTGTGGTTTCTGTGCTCCCTGGGCACAAGAAGTATGTGCACACAGCAAACCCCAGTGTGTCAGCTGCCCTGCCCTGCCTGCTGCAGTGGTCCTGGCTGGCTGCACCAAGGGTGGAACATGCTTCAGCCTTTTCACAGGCATGGAGCTGTTTGCATGTCCTGAAAGTAAAGAGCTCCCAAAGATCTTCTTGTGGAGTTGCTCACAGTCAGCTGTGTCTTACAGGCAAGGTTGACCCAATAGTTAATTTTGC